CACACGCACACACACACACACACGCACACGCACACGCACACGCACACGCACACGCACACGCACACGCACACACACACACACACACACACACACACACACACAGGGTGTCCTATTTTAAATACCCTAGGTAAAAACCTCGAAACATATGGAAGATAGAAAAATATTTCAGACAAAAGTTAGATGATTCGATGGAGAACATAAAACGGTACCTTTGGCTTGCGTAGCCAAAGTTAGGTCGAGGTCAACTCTGCTTTTTAAAATAGAAACATATATTTTTTTTATTACAGAATTTTATTTTACATGAGGAAAGAAACAACTTTTGTTTGAAAACATATTTTATATGACCTCTATTTTCTAAGATATTTACGGAAATATCTACAAAATTATTGGTTTCAATAATTTTTTACTCGAATTCTATCAACTTTATCGAAAAATAGCAAGAGATAAAAATTATCTATTTTCTTCTCATAGAGCTCTTAAAATGTTTGCCAGAATTTTTTAATTAACTTTTTAGTACTGCATTTTCTTGCATTTTCTTGAAGTACTAAAAAAGTAATTAAAAAATTCTGGAAAAATTCTCAGTGCTCTACGAGAAGAAAATAAATAATTTTTATCTCTTTTTTGTCTGAAACATTTTTGCGTATTTTCCATATTTTTCGAGATTTTTGCCTGAGGCATTTAAAATGGGACACCCTTTATATATAAGGTGTAGTGAAAAGAAATCCATTATTTTTCCAATAGATGGCTTTAGTAATGTGTATCTCGCGTTGTATAAGTGCGATCGGTTTACGCTAGATGGCGTTAGAAAGATAAGATTTCGTACAAAAAAAACTTCTCAGACAGTTTTGTAACTGTTTGACTCAGTATTGTTTGAGCGTCAAAGATGGACGCCAGCAAAGAGAAAATACGCCATATTTTACAGTTTTTCTTCGATAATGGCGAAAGCGCAAGCCAAGCGGCTGAAAATGTGAATAGTATTTATGGTCCTGATACTGTAACAGCCAATCACGCGCAATTTTGGTTTCGTCGATTTCGTTCCTGTAATTTTGATGTCAAAGATGCACCACGCTCTGGAAGGCCAATTGTCGAAAATGTCGATAAAATAATGGAAATCGTCGAATCCGAACGTCAAGTGA